CACAACAGTCCTATGAAGTAGGTTAAGCTGAGAGATGGAGGCTTTATTACTAGACTGACTACGTGATTGTTTGAAGAAAGCATGTCTCTCTTTCATTCAGTATCTTCTATAATCACTTGGAATAATTGTTCAGGAGCACTAATATGTGAAGCTATTATAAATATAAGAGGAGAACACCTGACAAATATACTTAAATTTGACATTTTCTTCCTGTCCCCCAGTTTCAATACATTTAACATGAGCCTTGCTATGAATTGCATTAAATTCATTAAATTGTCCACCTCTATCATTCTATCAGTAGCAGTACACGAGCTGCTATTAGCCAATATGACTGCTAGATTCTACAGTTTCTAAGGCAACCAACAGAGGACAAAGACCAAAAATATGGCCTATCACTTCAGGTGACCAGGAAACTAGGACAGGAAATCCAGTGCAACTGAAAAGCAAAATTGACCATTACTGTACTGAAACTTAACTTGAACATACTTTCCTACAGGAAGAAATCTGTTTTCACCTCATTATTTCAGAAGTGATCATTTTGTCAGTGTCACAACCCAACTGGCGTTCCTGAATCACTGAAATATTCCAATCTTTAATATACCTTTTATTCCTTCCAATCTGCTTTGCAAGCTGAAATTCCCTTCCAGAGTTCTTTTCCACCTTGTTTTGTTACTTGTTTGTGTTATTTCTCTGTTCTTAATTCTCTCCCTCTTTCTCCATTTCCCCTTTAATTTTCAGATAACTGAAAAATAATATATGTTGCTGAAACACTCTCTTATGATTCTTATGCCCTTTAGAGATAATTTTAAAAAAAGAGAGAACATGGGTTGAATCCAGCTGGAGCCAGAACTAAAAAGCCAGAACTAAAAAGTTATACTTAGAGTTATCTGTGAGTCTATGCCTATATAATTGCATTTTTATGTAATTTTTAAATACATAGAGATTATTATCATTTAGCTGAAAAACTCCTGATCTTATATTTTAATATTACGATAGTTGCATTACTGTTCCAATTTTTACTTTATTCTGCTTTTGGTTATAAGCACGTGAGAAATAAACTACTGCTACTTTACAGGTAAATCCTCAACTTACAACCATTTGTTCAGTGACCAAAGTTACTACAGCACTGAAAAAAGGGACTTATGACCAGTTTTCATACTTATGACCATTGCAGCATTCCCCCATGGTCATGTGATCAAAATTTACATGCCAATTTGGCAACGGACATGTATTTGTGACAGTTGCATTGTCCTGGGGTCATGTGATCACCATTTGTAAACTTCCCAGCTGACTTCTACTATTTAATCATGTTCCAGATATTTATGGAGATTCTCAGTCATCCAGGTCATGGTTGCCCCAAAGGTTCTTTTCAAAAAGAAAAAACTTTCTTGTTTTTTTTTTCCTTGAAAACATTTTCTTTCTCAAGAAGAAGCTTCTTGGATGAGAAACAAAATGTTTTTAGGGAAAAAAAAACAAGAAAAGCCAGTTGCCTTCTAGAAAAGCAACTTTGGGACATGTTCTAAATAGTGGATAGCTAAAATAGAACAATGTTCATTGTGGTTGGTTGGATGGATAGAGGGAGGGATGGAGGGATGGATAGTAAGTAGCCTTGCCTTTCTAGTGCTCACCAGATGTGATGGAAAGTATTCCAACTCATTGAATGCTTAAAAAGTATAATCTTTAGCCATTGTAATGGGGAAATTTGTGAATTGAAGTTCCAAAAGATCTAGAAGATCAGGAAGTTGGTTTCATAGGAAGATGGTAGGTTAGTTTTGCAGGCATTTGCTTTTAAAAATAAAAATAAAATAAGGGTGGCATCAGCCTCCCCTAATCCAGTACCCTTAGCATACGGAGGATTTGGCCATGCTTGGTGATAGTAAGATTTAATCCAACCCATCTGGAGAGCAGGGGCATTCACAGGAAGGGATCAATGACATCAAATGGCAGGCGCAATTGCAGTCATTGAAGACCCACCCTTTTTAATGGATCACATGAAATGCAGGCAGATGAAAAGGGGTGGACTTTGGTCACTTGATCAGGCCTGCCATTTTGATATTATTGAACCCTTTGTGGATGTCCCCCATAGGGAGTCTCAAGCTAGATGAGCCTGGTCTTTGGAATTCTGCATGTGAAACATCCTGAATTTTCAACATTGTAATAGAGTGAAATATTCTAGTGGTCTACTAAAATTTATTTTGTGTGAGGCTGTATGAGAAAATAACCCAGAAAATCCATCTGGCACAAAACACAGTGGCAAGATTGCGCTTGTCAATTTAGAATAACATTTATATTAAAGACACTGCATTGGTTGCCAAGAGGATAAGATAATGAGTCTATCTGCAGTTCCCATTTTGTTGATATTTCAAAAACTGTGACCTGTTTTATTTTACTGAGCTTTTAACTCCAGATGATTGACTGAGAATTTGGAATTGGATTTTTTTTTCTGTCATTTGTTTTTGTTTTTTCCAATTATTATGCAGAGTTTTATTGTTTCAAATCCTTCCTTTATAAGTAACTCAAGGCACCAAATATATCTTAATACTCATTTTTCCTCCTATTTTCCCCATATTAACCCTGTGGGTGTGGATGGGCTGAGAACAACCGGCCCAAAGTTCAGGTGCCACAGGAGCTCACAGCCTATTTTTAGGCTAGCACTTTCTCCACTACACCAAACTGATTAAAAAAAAATCCTTTGGAACTGGGGCAGATTATAAATACATTTAAATAAACAAATGCTCATAAAGTGGAGCAAATTAGGAGTCTGTATATATAGCAAACAGTGGGCCTTTAACCCCATATTCAAAATGCTCTGCTTGGACCTACAATGGCCCTCCAGGACAGGCTCTCAAGCAAAGATCCGTTCTTGTATCAGCTGTGACTTCTCTTAACCGGAGGAGCCTGGGGTTGAATTGAAGGATTTTAGGCATGTCAAGAATCCTTGATCTGCAGTCCTGCTTTAGCAAAGAAAGTGCCACTCATCCCAGTGACATCTTACATAGGATTTCAGAAGATTCTCATGATATCCATCATTTTTATACTATGCAGGGAAGGGAGAAAGAGATTTTAAAAATTCATTTGTAACAAACATTTTAGGAAAGTATACAACCTAGCAAACAAAAGCCTATGGTACATTTATGTAGTAGTTTTACTCCTTTTGGTCCGCAGACTCCAATAGATAGGCTTCTGATATCTCTTCAGTGACTTATCAGCTAGACACCTGCCCTTCCTGACTCACGTATGGCTGGAGAGTATGACAAGCTGAATCAAGGAAGTTGTGTGCTTCAATTACAGGAGGTTTGGATACAGCTAGTCTGAATAATCTCACCCTGTGTAACTTTCTATTTTTACAGGGTTCTATTGACACATTGGAGGTGGGAGCTAGTTATAGACTGACCCCAAAAAAGCAGATTGTCTATACTAGCTAAGGTTCAACCCTGAGCATGGAAGAGATATGGTACTGATTGCTAAGTAATTGATTTTTGTCTGGATCTGGATAAGAATACGCTCACCCTGGTTGTTTTAGGCCCCATAGCATCTCCTGAATCATCTGTGAGGATTGGAGGTACTGGTTCACATTGTGTCAAGCATGCAATACATGGCCAAGGAAGCAACATTCAACAAAATCTCATTAATCAAATGTCATGCCAAGAAAAAGGGTTAATTAATGGAATCTCAGAAATTAGATGAAGAGATTTCAACCGTCATTTATTAGTGAGCATATGAAAGGGTGTCTGTGAGCTATTTCACCCTTTTTCCCCACAGAAAATCTAAAAGATGGACTGATGTTTTAATTTAGAGATAAGACTGAAATGTCAAAAACCATCCTTTTTTAACCTTTAAGAATTCCCACACGCAGTGGTTCTGTTCTTTGGGCAGTTTTAGTTGAGGATTGTGAAGAGGGAAAGATTGGCCTGTGGCTGTGTCTTTAATATAAATCACAGCACTCAGTTCTCTGCCACCATGAAGCCAGTGGAGGGATCCATTGCTATCCTGTCTGCACTGCGATTAAAGTCTTATCCTAGAATTGGGAGAGTATTGGGGTCTACATAGGTTGATTTCCCCCCCACCCCCACCCCCAGCATTCAACTGAAGTCCATTTTCCTATTGCACGATATACATTTTACATTGTTATGCTCTTCTAGCAGTGCTTGAGTAATTGATTGCAACTGATTACACACTGTAGATTTACCTAAGAACACTAGATCTAATGAGATTGGTAAGTTTATGAAATTGGTGCAGACCAAGGCAGAAAGTGTTGTGGGGAAGAATAGATACATTCTAGGGCCAATGGCATGAAATTATAGGGTAACTCTCATCTTCCAAAACATTACTTCCACTGATGACAAATTCAAGAACTAGAAATATGGCTTTCAAATGTAGTAGCTTCTATTTCTAAATTCCTAGCAACTCCTTGCATTTTCTTATCATTATCAGTTTGTTATAGGAATTTAGGTAGTTCTGAGAATGAAATTTCAAGTATAAATTCACATGAATCTATTTGATTCCCATGATTAAGTATTTGTAGGAATTCTTTCTCACGAGCATGGACTAAAAATCCCATATTTACTATGCTGTTGTATTAGCCTCAACCCACTTAGGCCAAATATTATTGGAACAATATTTTGAACTGAACAATAGTAAAGCAATTACAATAGTATGCCATCCGGATTACTATCAAGGCAACAAATATTTCTGCCAGAACAACTGAACTATGGAAACTTGCTCTCCTATTTTGGGATATGTTCCCAATTCTTTGCATACAAGAACACTATGCACAATTGTTTGGTCTACAAAATCTGCCACAAGTGTGATGTTTCAAGCCAGTGTCAAGCTATTAAATCTATTCATAAATGTGCAGCTCTCTTTGGATAAAACAGAGCTATTTGATGAAAAATTCAAAACAAAATAACTTTATTATGGTCATTTAACCATTGCTAAAAAATTATATAAAAGCAAAAAAAAAGCCCATTGAAAACCTCTAGAGTAACAAATAGTTTTATTAAAAATTCTTTGTTTGCTACATTAACATTTTAAGTCACATATTAACTTTATGCAACTGTTTTTCAAGTTAGAATGATTGAATATGGGTGTTTCTTCTTGCTTAAAATTACAACTCTCCTTAAAAATATTTAAAATATGCTCCACCTTATCATCTTTTTTATCCTTATCTTGTTTCAATGTAATAAAAACAAAAAAAAGGCAAATTGTGTTTGTTAGGCAGCAGCATCTCCTAATTGGAATGTCTTACTCTGATTATTGCAGCATTTTAAAAATTGTAACTCCATAAGAAATTAGATAGAACCCATCAAACAAATGAAGTACATGATTTTTCAAAGAAGAAAATGTAAAGTTTATAAAATTGCAAGTTTTTATGTTTGTTCTTTTTCACAGATATAAGGTAAATATTCTGTACAAGCAATTTTCTTTTTCCTACTTTTGGAATCTTTCCAAAGATTATACATACAGTTTTCTTTTTCATTGTTTTCAACAGATTGAGTCCTGTTAAGAAAGAATGACAAGCATTAATTATTAGAATAGGAAGATCTTTCCTACAGTGTCAGTTAAGAATAAATAAATTCAGGATGACTTTCAACCTAAGGTTCTTACAATCTGTTGGAACCAAAATTAAAGTGATAGTTTGCACGATACTTAAATACCACAATTTAATCTCTGCAATATCTCAGTATATAAATGGTTTCATTTGTTTTTTTTATTTCATTCATTTTCCTCCCTCACCAATCCCTGCAGGCAGGAAGAAGAGGAACCAAACTATCTTTATTTATTCACTAGATTTATGTAGCTGTCCATCTCACACATGAAATTTTTTTCTAATGGGATAGCAATTATAAAAACTCCAACAGCACTTTGCAATCCACTGCTGACAGACTAACTATGCAATTGTGTTTGAAGGCAATTACAAAATAATATATGAGTTTTGGAATAAAATGGAAAAAAAGTGTCTGATCTTTCTACAAAGATTTGTCCCAACTGTAATATCTAGCTGGCTATTTGCCATTTTTTCCCCTTTGCCTCTTCTTCCCAGCATACCCCACCAGTCAACCTGGCAAGGCAGCCATGAACAGAAAGCCAGGCTGCCCATCATCCTTTCCTCACTCAGCTCTAAGTGTCAGTGAACCTACCAATACACATTTCCTCCTCAATGTTGCTCACAGCTATGATTTTCCCTCTTGCCTCCAGACTTTCTAGAATGGAAGAAGAGGGGAACCTTGAACAGCAGCCTACAATAGAATCTCCATGAAGCAGATTTCTTTGGAGCAGATAAAATGAACATGGCAAGTGACAGTTTGTCCTTGTAAATAAGTAGTTTTGAAGTACTCCACATACTAATGATATAAAGATGTCACCATAACCGGAAAATATCTTTAAATGCTTTGAAAAGTCTATTTGAATTCATGCTTCTGTGACTACTTTCCTGGAGGTTCTTTTTCTCCTTTTCTTTCCTAAAAGATTTACCATGAAAAGAGCAATCAGAGAAAGAGCCATCATCAGTAACTTTTACTTACAACTCTGGAAAGGGTCTGCCATTTATCCACATCCACTTGTCTTTAGGATACCTCCTAAGGCCAATCCAATAGCTAGAATTTTTTAGACGGTCCAGAAATTCCTGGGGAAAAAATAAAAGCAAAAAGGATTGTATCAAAGACTGGACTTGTGACTGAGACCCAATTCACTGAATTAAGGCTACTGGTGGCATTCACTCAAATTAGGATTGCAGGAGATTTAAGTTTATTGAATTTCACCTCTCCCAAAACAATCCAAGGTATTAGTAAAAGCTGCACCTGAACATTCTTTTTAAAAAAATACAAACACTTGAGATGTGAATGAATGAATCTTGATGTTGAAAGGAAAATTCAAAGATTTCCAGAACACCATCCAGCAGCAAGCTTCAACAGATAAATCAAAGGACAGATTGGGATTAACAGTGGGGTCAATTATCTTTGTATCTTTTCCCAGCTGCATTCAAGTATAATTTGAACATGCTATGGCAAAATTCTTTTTTTTCCCCTGATGTTGCTTTCATTTCATCCTCAACTCATATCTGAGGCACCTTGAAATTGTCTTTATCTGTTTTGGTGTTAAAGCAACACCACCACTACCCCCTTAAATTGGCAATAGGCTTGGGAGTTTTAAAATCAGCTATGTCACATTCAGATCAATATCATAATCAAGCAACCCCTCGGGATGGAATTGGTGTGGCATCTATTGGCCATTTTGTGATGATGTGGGCAGATGCAACTGGTCTTCGGGTCCTTGGCATTATATTCCAGGGGCATTCTATTTGAGGCAGAGTAGTGCGGTGGCCTAGGGGTATAGCTCTCACCTCACAATCAGGAGGCTGTGAGTTCGATCCTAGGTAGAGGTAGATATTTCTCTCTCTGGGCACACTGAGAATATATCTACTAAATAAAACTCTACGTTGGCAACAGGAAGGGCATCTGGCTAGTAAATACTCAGCTTCATTCAGTTGCCCAGACTCCACCCCGCAAGGGATTATGGGATCATTAAAAGAGGATCATGATGATTCTACTTGAGGCAGTGGGGGTTCTGTTTTATTTCACAGTGGACTCTCCTCTGTACCTACTAGATTTCCAAGCCAATAGTAGCTTAGATTACCCCGAATAGCAGCTGAAGAACAGTGATGAGGGGGTTAGTGCAAAGAAGAGAGAGGGAACTCTTCTAACTCTTGTCCTTCTCCCAGTATAAATCAGAACACTACCATTTAGCAACAAGCTAGATCCGAAGGTTCAGATGATAAATTTGGAATGACAATCAGATCAGTAATTGTTATGCCAATATATATTTTTAGTATGCATTGGAATAATGCAGCTTCCATCTGGAATCTCTCTTAAGCCTGTGTACATGTCAGCTAGCTAAAAGTGCTTGCATTTTTATATCCCCAAAAAGAGAAGGCTTCTTTTTTAAGGTTTCTAATCTTTAATAAAACAGAGAATGTTCAGGAGATATCATCTTCTCTTAAAATGTTAAGATTTATTTCACATACTTAATCTTTAGGAAACAGATGGCAGAAGAAAATTTGAACTATGTGCAGTTGTAAAAGTTTGTACTGTATTGTGCCTTACTTCTTGTACGAATAGGGCTAAGGATGAGGGAATCGTTGGGGGGGGGACGACGACTTCAAAGTGCAAGACACCCTGTCTAAAGAATGGCTCACCTGTTTATCCATGTCATTTTTATCATCAATCACTACCAGGTGAGCTTTGAGGCTTTGGCAACTACGCATTGCCATCTCCCAAGGTTGCTGATCAGCAGAGTAGTAGTAGCAATTTGTCTGAAACTTCAGCCAGCCTTTTGGACACTGAGGGATAACTGCAGGGCACAGAGCCATGCAATATAGTAAGTAAGAGGGTATTGCAAGGATTCTATATTTCAGTAGTGCTATACCAACTATACCAACATAATACAAATACAAAACATCTGCTATCATACTTCCTGGGACTTATAAAAATAGTAATAACCAAAATAAATAAATTAAAAAGAAAAGAACAAAAAAAGAACCTCAAAGAGCAGATTCAATGGACCATTAGGTCTTTCTCTGCTATTAATTTTCTGTTTCTATGGCATTCCTCCAGCCCTCCACTTATTATAGCTTTAACACCAGTAAGTATAATTTCCCCAATCTCTGGATAGCTGAGCCACGTATATTTCTGAAGACATTCTCCATTTCTACAGGGCCAAAGATTCTATCATTTTTAGAGTAACACTGAGAACTTTTCTCACCAGGGGATCCCTACTTTTTGCTTTCTGTAGGAATCATTCTGGGATTGCTGAGAGCACATAATTCTCCTCTATCTCTGCATCTGGGTGACTGAATGAACCAATCATCAACCATACAAGAGAAATGAGTCACCTACAAAGTTGGTTGATTAGGAGGAAATGAAAGTAGCAGAGTGAACCTCTTGTTTTCTGGGGAACTATTTCATTATAGCTGTATTTTTTAATGTATTTTAAATGAGTTATCTCATAGCATAGATTGATAATGACAACGAAAACAAATAAGCACATCTGATGAGAAAGCAATTGAAATGCTGAACATACATTTCAAACAAGCCAGCAGAAAAGCAGCTGTTGCCATCAACAGGGATACACACACCAAGATGTAAAGGATGATCTTAGATGCTCTCGAAGAGTTGCAACTTGTATGACTGGTAATCCCAAATGAAGGCACCCCTGTAAATAACGCGAACTGATTAATTAGTATATTGTGAGATAGCTGATAGTAGAAAGCAGAGCAAGTGTATATAAGCAGAAGGAGGCATGTGTACAAAAGTGACAATACTGAAAAGAGCCCATGCCTGAATAACTTATCTCTCCACACCACCATTGGGAAGGGGACATTGTGGGGAATAAAAGGAAAGAAGGCATAACATGGGTCAAAAATAGTGTTATCTTGGCCATACGCCATCAATCTTTATACTTTTTAAACCTGCTTTTCTGAGAGGACAGAGGGATTTAAAAGGACAACCAAGAGTTCTGATTTACAATTTATTAAGATTCTATACAATTCAACAGAGCCACCTAGACCCCAAAATGCTTCAGGATAAAAAAAAAAACTAGAAGACTACCAACAATTTCACAATCAAATATTCATAAGATCATCATCTCATTCTTCTGGTAGCACTGTTAATAATATAGCATTTAAATAGGCATGAATAGGACATGTGGGGGGATAATTGAAATCATAACTATTCCCCCCCCCCCATGCCCATTGAGACTTCTTAATCTTTCTCAAACTAGAAAAATCCCCCCTGATTTTAAATTTTAATTCCTAGATGTTTTATGTTTTTAAGAATTTCATACCTGACTTTGCTTTCTTTGCTTTTGTTCTGTTTGGACGTAGAACATTCTGGTAATTTCTTTCAGGATCATCAAGATTGCTTCCAAAGACTAGAGAAAGAAACACTGTTAAGTATTGCTCTTCTTTTTTAAAAACCCTCAGGACTGCATAAGTTGCCATATAAGATAAGCTTGGTGTAGTTTGTGTTAGATATTCAATGGGGAAAAGTCAGTGATGTCAGACTTCACCCATTGGTTCATTTTCCAGGCGGGAAAATGAACAGCCATCAGTGGCTAAAGTTGTGGACGGCAGCCTGTAAAAAGGACAGCAGGCACACCTGACAGCAGTCTTTACTCAGAGCAGAATAAAGAGATCTTTTCCCTCTTCCCGTTGTCCTGCCTCTTCAATCTAGCCCATATCTAACACTGGTGACAAAGGTGGGATGCTAGAAGAGAACAAAGGAAACCAGGTGTAGATGGATAATTTCTTACAACAGAACACTTCCATCACTGTTCTGATCATCAGAATGACCACCCACACTCAACCAGAACCTTTTGATCCAACAAGGCATGACTGGGTCGCGTACATGGGACAATTTCAAATGTTTTTAGAAGCAAATTCACTGCATGATACAACAGAACAGAGGAAGAGAGCTCTATTCCTGGGATATTGTGGGAATCGCCTCCACAAAACAGCTAGAACCCTAGCTGCGACTAAGATGTGAAAACAATGGAATGGAAAGAATTGCAGAAGATGTTAGAAGAACATTATGCTCCTGCTGCATCATCAGTGGCTCACCGACTTGACTTTTACCACAGAGAACAGAAACTAGGTGAGACCATAAATGATTACCTTACAAACCTACAAGATATTGCTGCAGGCTGTGAGCTTGAAAATGTGGAAATAACTTTAAGAGATAGAATTATCGTTGGAATGAGAGACCTGAGATTGCAAAGGAAGCTAATAGCTAAAAAGAACATCTCTTTAAAAGAAGTAATAGAGGAAGACTGGGTAGAAGAAATCTCGGGAAAACCAGCAACTACAATTGAGAAGTCCGAAAGCGTTCACTCAGCATGGGAAACAACCAGAAAATATCAGGGAGAGGGGGAGATTGGTGAATTCTCCAAAGAGGAGGAAGAAATACATAGAGTAAAACCTGATAGAAGATCAGGGCCCCAAGGTATGAGCCGGAGACCCCTATGGCATGCAGGCTGTAAAGGGAACCACCTCCAGGCAGTCTGCAAATTCAGGGATACAATCTGCCGCTGATGCGAGAGAAGGGGGCATATTGCTGAAGCATGCAGAGCAAATCTGCCAGCATATCCCAATCAGAGACAAGCAGGTTTCCCTAATCAGCCACGTGGCCCACAACAAAGGGGATTCCAGAGACCGCCAAATTTAAACTAAAGGGGGGGGGAGATAATAGAATGGAGAGGGACAGAGACTATGAGCACACAATAGTGGGGCATTCTGACCCCCGTAAATCAAAGAAATTCAACATCACAGTCATAATAGGAGAAAAACCTTGTGATATGGAAATTGACTCCGGATCCTACATATCTATGGTGTCCTGGACAATTATAAAGGAAGCAATCCCTGGCATAACTCAACAACAACTAAAACCACAATGTTTAATATTAAAAGACTACCAAGGAAACAGAATTCCCATATAAGGAAGAGGAATTTTTCCAGTAAAATTCAGAAACTTCACCGGTGAATTGCCTTTAACTATCATGGACAAAGAAGTACTAAGCCTCCTCGGGATAGATTGGTTTAGAGCCATAGGAGTGCAGGTGACCATCCATACCATGCAAGCAGAAGAGTACAATCAAATGAGAGAGGACCTACAGACTGAGTTCAAGGATGTTTTCGATGGGAGCCTAGGCAAGGATATGGGGACCCCTATTTCTTTCAACCTTGATCCAAAAGTTCCCCCTGTCAGAATAAAACCAAGGCGAGTCCCTTTTGCCCTGAGGCCCAAGGTGGATGAACAATTAGATAAACTAATAGCCCAAGGAGTCTTAGAGCCAGCTGATCACGCGAAGTGGGAGACCCCTATGGTCACTCCAGTTGAGCCAGATGGGTCCATTAGAATCTGTGCAGATTATAAAATTTCCATAAATACCGCATTGCAACAGAGCACATACCAGTGCCAGTAGTACATCTGTTGCATTCAATAGGAAAAGGATTTTTTTTTTTGCCAAATTAGACTTGGCTCAAGCCTAATAGCAGTTACCTGTGGATGAAGAAACAGCAGAAGCTCAGACCATTGTAACACACAGGGGTGCTTTCAAATGCAAAAGACTGCAATTTGAGGTAAGCATAGCCCCAGGACTATTTCAAAGCTTAATGGAAAACCTACTACAGGGCATTGTGGGGATGGTACCTTATTTTGATGATGTCCTCTTGGCAGAAGAGGACAAAGAACAACTTAAACAAAGACTAAGGCTCGTTTTCAGCAGATTTCAAGAAGCTGGCCTTAAAATCAAAAAAGAGAAATGCCACATAGCAGTACCAAGTGTTGAATTTCTGGAATATCTAATTGATGAGACAGGTATACACCCCACAGACAGTAAAATAAAAGCAATTAAGGAAGCTCCCACTCCAACAAACAAAACAGAATTACAAGCTTTCCTGGGACTTTTAAACTTTTACAGTATTTTTATTCCAGAGAAAGCGACAGTTGCTGAACCGCTTCACAGACTTCTTGATAAAAATGCAGAATGTACTTGGGAGCACAGAGAAGCAATTGCATTTGAAATCATAACAGGACTCCTAATTTCTAACAGTATTCTAGTACAATATAATGAAACATTACCTCTTTTACTATCATGTAATGCATCCCTCTTTGGGGTGGGGGCTGTTCTCAGTCATAGATTCCCAAATGGCAGAGAAGCACCCATTGCTTTCTACTCAAAAACTTTATCCAAAGCTGAATGAAATTACAGCCAGTTAGATAGGGAAGGTAGCAGGCATTAAGCGTTTTCACAAATACACTGCTCAAAAAAATAAAGGGAACACAAAAATAAGACATCCTAGATCCGAATGAATGAAATATTCTTATTAAATACTTTGTTCATTACATTGTTGAATGTGCTGACAACAAAATCACACAAAAATTATCAATGAAAATCAAATTTAGCAACCCATGGAGGTCTGGATTTGGAGCTACACTCAAAATTAAAGTGGAAAAAAACACTACAGGCTGATCTAATTTTGATGTAATGTCCTTAAAACAAATCAAAATGAGGCTCAGTAGTGTGTGTGGCCTCCACGTGCCTGTATGCCCTCCCTACAATGCCTAGGCATGCTCCTGATGAGGTGGCAGATGGTCTCCTGAGGGATCACCTCCCACACCTGGACTAAACCATCCCCCAACACTTGGACAGTCTGTGGTGCAACATGGCATTGGTGGATGGAGCGAGACATGATGTCCCAGATGTGCTCAATTGGATTCAGGTCTGGGGAACAGGCGGGGCAGTCCATAGCATCAATGCCTTCATCTTGCAGGAACTGCTGACACACTCCAGCCACATGAGGTCTAGCATTGTCTTGCATTAGGAGGAACCCAGGGCCAACCACACCAGCATATGCAATGGGTCTGAGGATCTCATCTCAGTACCTGATGGCAGTCAGGTTACCTCTAGCAAGCACATGGAGGGCTGTATGGCCCCCTTAAGAAATGCTACCCCACACCATTACTGACCCACTGCCAAACCGGTCATGCCGGAGGATGTTGCAGGCAGCAGAACGTTCTCCACGGCATCTCCAGACCCTATCACATCTGTCACATATGCTCAGTGTGAACCTGCTTTCATCTGTGAAGAGCACAGGGTGCCAGTGGCGAATTTGCCAATCTTGGTGTTCCCTGGCAAATGCCAAAGGTCCTGAACGGTGTTAGGCTGTAAGCACAATCCCCACTTGTGGATGTCGGGCCCTCATACCGCCCTCATGGAGTCTGTCTCTGACCGTTTGAGCAGCCACATGCACATTTGTGGCCCGCTGGAGGTCATTTTGCACAGCTCCGGCAGTGTTCCTCCTTACACAAAGGCAGAGGTAGTGGTCCTGATGCTGGGTTGTTGCCCTCCTAAGGCCTCCTCCACGTCTCCTGATGTACTGGCCTGTCTCCTGGTAGCGCCTCCATGTTCTGGACACTACACTGACTGACACAGCAAACCTTCTTGCCACAGCTCGTATTGATGTGCCATCCTGGATGAGCTGCACTACCTGAGCCACTTGGGTGGGTTGTAGACTCCGTCTCATGCTACCACTAGAGTGAAAGCACTGCCAGCATTCAAAAGTGATCAAACCATCAGCCAGAAAGCATAGGAACTGAGAACTACTCCTTTATTGGGGGTGTCTTGCTAACTGCCTATGCTTTTCACCTGTTGTCTATTCCATTTGCACAACAGTATGTGAAACTGATTGTCAATCAGTGTTGCTACCTAAGTGGACAGTTTGATTTCACAAAAGTGTGATTGACTTGGAGTTACATTGTGTTGTTTAAGTGTTCTCTTTATTTTTTTGAGCAGTGTATCTTTATGGGAGACAATTTGAACTAGTCACAGACCACAAATCACTCCTAGGCATCATAGCAGAAAACAAACCAACACCAAACATATTGTCCCCCAGAATGACAAGATGGACTGTTTTCTTAGCTGCATATAACTATTGCCTTATACATTGACTGGGCAAGACCATAACTCATGGAGATGCACTCAGCCGTTGCCCTCTTCCAGAACCTATTGTGACCCAGTTCCAGCCACATCCATACTCCTCATTGAAGACATCGCCACCGGCCCTATCACAGCATCAGAAATAGCCAAACAATCAGCCAAATACAAAACTCTGGCATGTATTTTAAACTGGGTGTTGAGAGGATGGCCAGAAGAAGCGGTGGAAGGTGACTTTAAACCGTTTAAAATCTGGCAAAATGAACTGTCTGTAATTAAAGGGTGTTTGTTGTGGGGGGATAGAGTTGTGATACCTGAGACACTGAGAGAACAAGTCTTAAGAATGTTGCATGAGGGCCACCCAGGGATAGTAAGAATGAAAGCATTAGCCAGAAGTTGTACTTGGTGGCTGGGAATGGATAAGGAAATTGAAAAATGGGTTGCAGCTTGTCCGCCTTGTCAGGAATCCAGACCTGCACCCCCTTCAGCCCCAACCCTAGAATGGGAATCACCAAAAGCACCTTGGTCTAGAATACATATAGACCTGGCAGGGCCAATGCAGGGGCAAACATTTCTAATAACTGTTGATGCATATTCATAGTGGGTGGAAGTAACAATAATGAAAACCACCACAGCAGATGCCATGATTAAGATATTGAAGAAATTGTTTTCCATGCATGGATTGCCAGATGTGGTAATGGGCCCCAATTCACAGCTAACAATTTTGAATGCTTTCTAGCTGAACAGGAATCCGCCATACATTATCAGCACCTGGACACAACCAGAATAACGGGCAGGCAGAGAGGGTCATAAGATCCACGAAGGAAACCTTAGCAAAAATGGGAACAGGGGAATGGCAAATAAAAATAGACAAATTCTTAATGAAACAACTTATCACATTCTCAGCTGCCACACATAGATGTTCAGCAGAATTTTTAATGGGGCGGAAGTTAAGATCAGAGCTAGACAGATTACAACCACACTACAATCCAAGCACACCCGCAGATTCGACGAGTAAATGTAGATATTTGAACATAGGCCAATTGGTCTATGCTCACAACTATGCAGGGGGCAGGGGGCATGGATCCTTGCATGAGTAGTGGAAGTCACAGGCCCCTGATCTTATAGAGTAGAACTAGAAGATGGGAAAATATGGAGCAGACACATAGATCAACTCCGGGGATGATTGGACCATGATCAGAATGACCAGAAAGCCTCAGAGACAGAAACCCAACACAGAGTGGAAAGACTAACCCTGACCACTAAAAATACTGAACACACAAGCCTTCCCACTTTAGGACGGAACTCAAACTCGAGTATACCACAGGATAACTTAGCTGGGGAGGGGGGGAAATCCAGCAAAGAAACTCAGAGCCCTCTGTTTCGTTGGAGCCAGCCCCACTCTGAAAAACCTTGAGGCAGTTCAAAAGGGCTGGCTCTGGAGTGACAACAGACCCAACTAGTCAGGTTGCCACCGCTGGTGAGGCTGAAGTGCGAAGGTCCGGTCACACACACAGGAGTCCCACTTACATGATTATGTTCTGTGAGTAAGAGCTGATTGGATGAATGCTTCTTCAAGGAGGGGAGGGGTGTTAGATATTCAATGGGGAAAAGTCCGCGATGTCAGACTTCCCCCATTGGTTCATTTTCCAGGCGGGAAAATGAAAAGCCATCAGTGGCTAAAGTTGTGGACAGTAGCCTGTAAAAAGAACAGCAGGCACACCTGGCAGCAGCCTTTACTCAGAGCAGAATAAAGAGATCTTTTCCCTCTCCCCGTTGTCCTGCCGCTTCAATCTAGCCCATATCTAACAGTTTGATGTAGAGGTTAAGGTGTTAAACGGCCTAGAAACCAGATACTATGAGTTGTAGTTCCTGCCTTATACATGAAAAACTAGCTGGGAGAGACACACTCTTTTAGCCCAACTAAGAGGAGGAAGAAATATTGGTACGTTCAACACTTGAGCAGTGTATGTGTACATGTGCAAAAAGGCTTCAGCCACATATTATGTTAGAGATGAAATCGGGTGAAAATAATAGGTAAGTCAGAGGGGCCCAAGGAAGGAGAAGAAATCACAGTCTCCCGCTTTCTAGCCTGGTTCCTTAACTAACACCAAATTTGATATTAACTTGAACATGTCTCTTACTTCTAGTCTGCCAACATCCTGTTCTAAAGAGTAGGATGCAGTGTCAGTGTGCAATTGCTTTTTGGAATTCTGTATTTTGAGCACAATCTTGTTTCTCCTGTATGAAAAGAATTCCCTGATGTATACCTATATAATGTACTGCAAAGACCCACTGAATTCCTGGATATTCCTGAAGTTGATGTTAAAGATTCCATGTGAAATGGACTGATTAGAGGGTCAGGTTGATCCTCAGTCCAAACTAGAGACTGTTTTTGCTTCACAAGTCAACGGGCTTTTCCTGTTTTCCCAGATATTTGATGCCTTTATGTCTTGCTCTCCCTTTTCCCACATTCTCTCCCCTTTGGCAGTAGATTATTTGGGAGGTGGGGGAGCTTTGAGTCAGTGATGATCTCTGATGACCACTTAGAGAACTCCCTGAAGTTTTCTTATCAAGAGTTAAGAAATGCCTCTTTTGCCATTGCGTCTTTCCTGGGGCTGAGAGAGACAGACTAGCTCAAGGTCACCCATCTAGCATCGTGCCCAAGGTAGAACTCATGATCTCCTGCTTTCTAGCCCGGTTCCTTAACTATTACACCAAAATGGTTCTCATGAAACTTGATGCTAAGATGGGCTTTCCCTTTATGGCACTCATTGTTCTGATGAGTAGCCCAGCTGATAGATTACAGGCCAGGAGGAATGTGAACTGGGGTGAAGTTCTGGTTGGGGTCACTCTTGATAAGGGTCCAGGAGAAAACTGGGGATGATACGTAGGAATTTCATGTGGACAAAATGAAAGAAGTGGTTACTAAAGCATCTCTGTGTTTTGGCCTTTTGAGGTAGTCTGATCCCCAGAGATTCCCATAATCATTATGTTTTTCTTTGAGATATGTCTCATATTTAAAAGCATCTGCTGATTTAAGAGTTTAATCCAATATATAAACAGGTTCAGGTTGCCATAGAAAAAGATAGCTTTCATAATTATTATTATGTATTCTAAATGGTCTGTGATTAGTGTGTGCATGTGTGTGTGTGTGTGTGTAGCATATATATAAATATGTGCATGTATGGATATGTATTTTTTCTTTTGAGAGAGGGCATCAGAATTTCATTTTTTAATGTGTGCCAGTATGTTTACCGAAAAAAGTGACAATAAAGGTTATCTTATTTTATTTATCCCACCTCATCTCAACAATAGTAGTCTCGTTCCTACCTTTCGTCTGGTCTTCCATGTGTTCCACTCCTCTGGTATGATACCTCCAGAAATTTCTTTTAAAATGAGATCCAGCTACTTCCCCCAAAACAATCAGTGTTTTATTTTGAGAGGATGACAATGCTTCTGTATTGCAAAACTCCAAGAAGTTCTTCCTGTAGTTTAGATACCATATAAACAAACACAAATACTTCCATACTGAGACTTTTAGCTGCTCACTCAGTCCCTTCATTGAGTGAGAGCTAGCAAGGATGGAAATGGCAACTTTATGGGGTAAAATGTGGTGAATGCTCTGATAAATCCAGATAAAGTAGATTTGTTTCAAAGAAAGGCAGGTTATTAAGGGAAAGGAAAAAGTAGAGAACCACAGAACTAGGAAACATGAAAAAGGATTTCAAAATATTTGGGGACAATAAACACATATGAACTTGACACTGTCATAGACACTCCCATAAAAAAAGTTTCCCATTGGGAAAGTGATTGTTGAAGTGTTTTGAATTACCCAAGGTGCAAAGCAAGACTAATTGTGCAATTTTACTGTACAGTTCAAGTGTGGAATTATCTCCTAAATTAAGCATATAATCTCTCTTTTGAACTCACCAGTATTTGCTCTAGCAGCCATTTCAATTATGACAAACTTTAACGTGCTGAGAATATCATTTTGCAGCATTCAGCTGTTCTATGAAATAAAATAAGTTTACATTCGTTTACTGTAATGATATTTTATATCAATCAACCCTCCCGTTGTCTTCCCGTTTCTTTGAGCTTGTGACGCCTGTTCGAGACAGTTCCGTGTCTCTTTACTGCCATCTAGTGCCTGCCCATTGTTTTTGCAGGCTAGGTCGGGGAGTGCTACGGGAAACCAGCTGGGCCCCGGACCCGGTTGCCATAGCGACGCCTTCGGGTTCCGGGCGCTTCCGCTGTGCGCTTGTTCTTTCCGGTCCTTCTGCCAGCGAGCGGAAAGGAGTCGCGCTGCCGGAAGGGATAAGGAGCCGCAGTCAAGCGTTAATCTCGTTCTTTGGGTGAGAGATGCGGGGCGGTGGGGGGCGATGATTCGGGGAGGCGGGGTTGGTTTGCAAGAGAAACGATGTAGCCCCCTGCCTTCCTCCCCTTCCTGTCATGGTCGTGTTGCCCCCGTTCCCTAATTTGGAGGGAAGCAGCTCACTCCAGGGACAGCTGGTGGAGTCTGGCATGAGCAAAGTACTGCCTGGCTCATGTACGTTAAGTAAGCTTGACCATCGGATATGGCTGACGGGGCTTCTCCCAAGCAAATCTTGTGCGATGTGAGGTTGCGGGGCGGGGCCGGGGGGACACTTTAGTGATCCTTAAGTCCATCATAGAAAGCAAAACCGTTTGGGATCGTTTTCACCCATGTAGTTTAAAGGAAACTTGCCCTGAAATGGGGTAGTGGTGTGAGCCTGTGCTTCTGATTTATAATTATGTAGTATAACAGCAAAAGCGTCTAAAAACGTACTGTCACCCAGAATGGTTTCCCTTTGGCCAATTGGAAGATTCAGAAAAACCAACATAATGTTGCTGTTTTCAGTTTCATCTGAACCAGAATGTTCTACGTTAATCATAAGTAACAGTCATTATTAGATCTCTCTCCCTCTCTCTCTCTCTCTCTCTCTCTATATATATATATTTTCTTAAGTTTTCGCGGGTACTTACATTTATGGTATTCAGCTTTGTTCGGGTATTTTCCCACATCATTATAGTTGTGCTTTTAAAGTTGTAGCAACGTTTCGGCAGAATTTCATCTGCCATCAGGCTTCTGTATTGCGTTCATCTGTGAGTCAGACTTTCACATATATATATAAAATGATAGACGGGTATAACGTAAAATATATATATATATATATATGTTTTCTGAGGTTCTTGCGGGTATTTGTATGTATATCTGGTTATTCGGGTTTTCTCCCGCATAAGATTGGAAGTATCTAGGCAACGTTTCGATGAAGTCTCATTCATCATCTTCAGGCTTGTGTCTTCGGCTCTGTGCTGCTCAGAGTACTCTGAGTACTCCCAGAACATGTATATACATGTATATACATGTATATGTATATTTGTATGTATAAATAATATAAATATAACCACATTATTTAAATTAAATTTTATACATATAGCTATACATACTGTATATACACACACTTGCACACATATACACACAGACACACACTTGCACACACAGACACACACACACACAGACACACATATATATATAGAGAGAGAGAGAATAAAAAATCAAATGTACGAATGACTGTTACATACATACGTAAATATTACATAATACAGGTATATAATGTTAGCTTTCCAGTCTGAATCTCCCAATCAACCGTTTTAATCAATTTCTTTAGTGATCTCTGGTATCAAAGGTGGAGGAAAATATTTCCGTAGATATTGTTTCGAAATTATTATAGCCAGGTACTTATTGCCTCAATCACTTTTTTCTCAGTAGCACTATGGATGCACGTTTTACCCGTGGCAAGTCTGCTATCCTGGAACGTTCGCTCACCCGACCCAAGACAGATGTAAGCCTCAGTGCCTTTTCCCTGCTGTTTTCTGAGATTGTACAGTACTGCCAGAACAGGGTCTATTCTGTTTCTGAGCTTCAGAACAAACTTTCTGAGCTAGGCCAGCAGGTGGGAGCTCGTATCCTAGATGTGCTGGTGATGCGAGAGAAAAATGGCAAACGTGAGACCAAGGTCATCAATATTCTGCTCTTCATCAAGGTGACAGTTTGGAAGGCTCTCTTTGGGAAGGAAGCTGACAAGCTTGAGCAAGCCAACGATGATGACAAGACCTACTACATCATTGAGAAAGAGCCTCTTATCAATACTTACATTTCAGTTCCCAAGGAGAATAGCACCCTCAACTGTGCTTCCTTCACCGCTGGCATCGTGGAGGCCATGCTCACTTGCAGTGGCTTCCCTGCTAAAGTCACAGCCCATTGGCACAAAGGGACCACACTCATGATTAAATTTGATGAGTCAGTTATAGCACGTGACAAAGGGTTGGATGGCCGTTGACAATATTTTATATAAATAAATTTGAATTGTCCATGTGTGCATATGTATATAGAGAGTATGTACAGATAGGCACACACATTCTATAATAAAGTAATTTATTCATATATACTTTGAAATTTTGACTACAGGCAAATGGTATTTGGTGAGGGAAAGCAAGATCCAGCCAGCATCGGAAAAAGGTTATTGTGTTCCATGATGCTTTTCTCAACCTAGTTCTTGTCAGATAATCTGCAGTATACTTCATCCTTGACTTCTGGCATTCTGAGAAGAATTGTAATCCCAAATACCTGGAGGATACCAGTCTGGGAAAGGAGTATATTGCATTTCTTTGTTACTGTCCTGTTGGAGTTTGATGATATTAATGAAAAATGTGTGCTCTACCAGCAGGCTATTTGCTCGTGCTGTTGCCCTTTTTACTTAATTCTTGCCATTATTCATAACTATTGCAGCCAATTTCCTATGTGTATCTGAAATAAGAAGTTGGACCTATGTTAATATTTCATCTAAAATGTGTTCTTAGAGATAGTAGTAGTAGCAATGCCTCTCTCTGTGATATGTACTTTTTACTGACGTTTCTGTTCTGAGCATAAGAAGATAAATCTACTTACCTGCAAAAATTGTGATAGATTATCAAGTAAAGCTCTTTTGAGTGTAGGCCAAAGCCACATGCATTTCCTGTCAACTTAATCATCCCTTCATACAGCTCTTTCCTGCTATATTTTGAGAAAGGGGACAGGGGAGATAATTATAACTGTGATGTACATAGTTATCTCTCTTTTTAGAAAAAGTAAATGAGAAAACCATGCATATAGACTTCATACAGAACAATAAGCAATAGAACTCCTGACAAGTGGGCATATTTTCCACTTCATCTAGGCAATCCCAAGTTTACAGATAGTGCTTAATCATTTACCAGAGTTTCTTCAGTCCTGTTTTGGGGGCAAAATGAATATTAGTCCTGGTTTATTTCTTCTTCCAGCTGCAAAGTGGGGTAGAGAATTGTTTTCAAATCTTTGGTTAAGCTCTATTCGTATATGTAGTTTTGACCAGCTTTACCCAGCCAAAGATCTGTCAGTATTTTAGGCTAAAACTTGAAATCAAATTCCCAGACAATACGACCATTTATATGTTAAAAATGATGGGAACTGAATGCAAAAACATCTGGAAGGAGATAATAAAAGATGCAAGACTGATTTGTCATTGAATAGATCTAACATCAATCTGTTCTTACTATTTAATGCACTAGATATTTGGGAGAATGGGTTTACTGAAATAATAAATTTGGTGAATGGCCATTTTTAGTCTTTCCTCCTGAAAATAGCCCACTCTACACCAGTTCAAGCTTTTGAATGCTGTTCAAGGATGCCCCATGTAGAGTCCATTGCAGTAGTCCAAGCATGAGATGACTGGGACTTGGATGACTGAGCACAGGGTCTCCTGATCCAGGAAAGGCTGCAACCAAAGTTGTGCAAAGGCTCTCATAGCCACAAGTGCTACCTGCTCCTTGTCAGTTCAAAAGGACACCATGGTTGATGGCGTTGAAGGCTGCTACGGGGACAAGGAGAGCAACTATGGTTGCATTATCCCCATTCTGCTCTTCATCAGGTGTTTTCTGATATTAAACTGTCAAACTCAGAGGAGCAGCTTGTAGCTACCCTACTTAGCTTATCTGGATTTTATATATTTTTAATGCAAACATAGGTAATAAGTTTTTGGTAACATGTTCTGGACCACTGTTTGTTTTTTTGTATTCCTTTTCCTGCTTTATTTAGAAGAAAAATCTTTCAGAAATTAGAAAACTGAATCTGTGATGAAGAGTTGGTTGACGCCTATTGTGAATACCGGATAAGGAAGTTCAGTTAATGTATACTGGATTGACAGGGGAAAAGTTGGGGATCCTGGGACATGTAAGAGCCAAACCTTCCTTTCTTCTACAAATGTAGGACTTAGCTTAAAGGCAGCAGAAATACTGTACAAATGTATTAGAAATCTTGGAATCACTGAAACTTTACACTTGCAAATACTCTAAAGCAGTGGCCCCCAACCTTTTTTGTGCCACGGCCCGGTACCGGCATCACAAAATCATCCGCAGCCCGGTACCAGCATCAGCACGCATGGCAAGGCGAGCCGAGCGACCGGCCAGCCAGCTGTCCCCCGCTTCTTCCCACCACCTTCAACTCCTCCTTTGTACCTATGTCGATGGGCTTCGCGACGGCTTCGCAACGGTCACTCAGCTCGCCTTGCCATGTGTGCTGAAAGAATCCTCGTGCCTTAGTTTTGTTCGAAGCCGCCCTCCCCTTTGATGAAACTAAGGCGCGAGGATTCTTTCAGAACCCAAACGCCGCTTTCTACCCGGAAAAGCTCACTGGAAGCACTTTTTCATCAAAACAAGATGGCGCCCAGCAAACTGGCGGCCCAGTAGAAATTGTTCCATGGACCGGTACTAGTCCAGGGACCGGTGGTTGGGGACCCCTGCTCTAAAGCCCCTGGGATCTTTTCCTCCATTCTTAATTACCCATTTTCTTTCCACTCTTTGCTGTGTCAGTGAAACATTTTCCTTGTTGCCTTTTGCATGGAAGCCTGCATGAAAATGCCAAACTCCAAAGCATGGAGTTATATTCTGAAGAGTTTATTGTACTGCCTCGAATCACCAATGTACAATGCATCTGATCATTTCACATACTAAAGCAGATTTTTAAAACTGGAACATGGCACAATCAGTCTTTACAAATGTCCATTAAAAAAGCTCCCAATTGTATGTACTGTGAAGAGAATATTTTAAAATGAGAAAATTCTGGGGATAGTTTTGGAGTGATTCAATATTCATTTTCACCTTAAATTAGCATCATCCAAAATGATTTAAATTTATCCCAGTTACCTGCTGATGAGAGTTATGCAACTGTAAGTGCAATTAGGAAGCACCAAGGTTTATAACCAATCAAGGCTATTCTTAATTCCCTTTGACCTGACCGCCTGTGCCATTTTGAAACAGTGGATAGAGCTCAATAATGGTTAGGATATATAAGGGAGGGAGGGAGGGAGGGGGAGAGAGAGGGGTGTGTGTGTAAATAACAAATAGTGCTGTAGTATGAGTGAGAAACAGTTTCCAATATAACTTAGTTCACTTTCAGATAATGCCTTATCCTCAAATTCAATTATAGTAGCTTTTTTCTGTAATTCTCCAAAAGGTTCATATTTGTTTAAATTAAGAGAAGGGAAGGGATCACCAATTTGTAACATGTTGCTGTTGAAAATAACCCTTTGTGGTAATCCAGTCCACCCTCTGCCTAGCGCAGAAACCTGCAACATCCCAAACAGGGGATTCAGTGTTTTGTTAGAGAGAGAGAGGGAGAGGGAGAGAGAGAGAAGTTAACTTCCCAAGGAAGTTTGCTCTTCGCTAAATAAGCAACTTGTTATTAGAAAGTTTCCTTAAAAAAAGAAAATTGTCATAATAGTAATATATTCAATAAATGCAGTATTTATATAGTACTGACTAGAAATCTTTAACTGTCTAATAATGTTTAGGAAACTTAAACAAAAATATTTTCAAAGGAGGCTTATGTCAGTGCTAACTATGATTTGAAATGTCGATGTTGGTAAGCATAACATACTTTACATTTTACAAAGCCAAAAATAACAATAGAAAACTGCAGATTACATCAAAATAATTGTTATACAATTAACATCTCTGTCTAAAGCTGCTTTTTTTCCTTGATATCTAACTGAAGTAAACTTCTTTATAATTTAAACCCATTGTTTATATGCCTTCTGAACAATTTTTCCTCAGTTTATATCACAAATCTGCAGGAAGTGGACTTGAAGAAAATCAAGTCAATAAAGAGAACTGAAACAAGTGTTATATTCTGACCAGCACTGACCGGAAACAGATAATCACCTTGGTGATACATTTCTTTTGATACCACTGTAAGATTGCATTTTCTTTTCTTTTTGCAATTCGATTACATAATTAGCTTTTGGTCAATTTGTGATCCACTGAGAGACACATTTTTTTTTAGCATATACTATTGTCTAATATGATTCTGCCTCTTCTACACTGCTCAAAAAATAAAGGGAACACTTAAACAACACAATGTAACTCCAAATCAATCACACTTCTGTGAAATCAAACTGTCCACTTAGGTAGCAACATTAATCGACAATCAATTTCACATGCTGTTGTGCAAATGGAATAGACCACAGGTGGAAAGCATAGGCAGTTAGCAAGACCTCCCCAATAAATGAATGGTTCTGCAGATGGTGACCACAGACCCCTTCTCAGTTCCTATGCTTTCTGGCTGATGGTTTGGTCACTTTTGAATGCTGGCGGTGCTTTCACTCTAGTGGTAGCATGAGACAGAGTCTACAACCCACACAAGTGGCCCAGGTAGTGCAGCTCATCCAGGATGGCACATCAATACGAGCTGTGGCAAGAAGGTTTGCTGTGTCTGTCAGCATAGTGTCTAGAGCATGGAGGTGCTACCAGGAGACAGACCAGTACATCAGGAGACATGGAGGAGGCTATAGGAGGGCAACAACCCAGCATCAGGACCACTGCCTCCGCCTTTGTGCAAGGAGGGACAGGAGGAGCACTGCCAGAGCCCTGCAAAATGACCTCAAGCAGGCTACAAATGTGCATGTGGCTGCTCAAATGGTCAGAAACAGACTCCATGAGGGTGGTATGAGGGCTTGACGTCCACAGGTGGGGGTTGTGCTTACAGCCCAACACTGTGCAGGACATTTGGCATTTGCCAGAGAACACCAAGATTGGCAAATTCGCCACTGGCGCCCTGTGCTCTTCACAGATGAAAGCAGGTTCACACTGAGCACATGTGACAGACGTGACAGGGTCTGGAGACTCCATGGAGAACATTCTGCTGCCTGCAACATCCTCCAGGATGACCAGTTTGGCAGTGGGTCAGTAATGGTGTGGGGTGGCATTTCTTTAGGGGGCTGCGCAACCCTCCATGTGCTCGCCAGAGGTAGCCTGACTGCCATTAGGTATCGAGATGAGATCCTCAGACCCCTTGTGAGACCATATGCTGGTGCGGTTGGCTCTGGGTTAATCCTAATGCAAGACAATGCTAGACCTCATGTGGCTGGAGTGTGTCAGCAGTTCCTGCAATATGAAGGCATTGATGCTATGGATTGGCCCGCCTGTTCCCCAGACCTGAATCCAATTGAGCACATCTAGGACATCATGTCTTGCTCCATCCACCAACGCCATGTTGCACCACAGACTGTCCAGGAGTTGGGGGATGCTTTAGTCCAGGTGTGGGAGGAGATCCCTCAGGAGACCATCCACCACCTCATCAGGAGCATGCCCAGGCGTTGTAGGGAGGGCATACAGGCACGTGGAGGCCACACACACTACTGAGCCTCATTTTGATTTGTTTTAAGGACATTACATCAAAGTTGGATCAGCCTCTAGTGTTTTTTTCCACTTTAATTTTGAGTGTAGCTCCAAATCCAGACCTCCATGGGTTGCTAAATCTGATTTCCATTGATAATTTTTGTGTGATTTTGTTGTCAGCACATTCAACAATGTAATGAACAAAGTATTTAATAAGAATATTTCATTCATTCAGATCTAGGATGTCTTATTTTTGTGTTCCCTTTATTTTTTTGAGCAGGGTATATTCAATCCATTGATTTTTTACTTCCCTATGGAAATATAGGACTTTACTTTTTTTTTTCTTATTGGAATGTTTCTGCCCAGTTCTAGTTGCCAAGTTCCTCCTGAATCAGAGTACTGCCCTCTGAAATTTTGGGTAACCCCTCCCCCCACATTTTCCTGTTATCTTCAGATATAATTATCATAATTTTTCTCTCTTTGTCCAAGTCATTTATAGATATTAAATAAATAAATAATTCAATTTATTACAGTCATAGACCAGAGACCAGAACAAATAAAAACACTTAGTAAATATACAATTAAAAGTTATAGTATAAAATAATAAATATACATGGTATAATTATACTAAAATTACAATCCATAAAGTGTGTGGCCCTTTGCCTTTTAGTTTAATAGCAATGCAAAGGGTTTGCACTATATTAGTGCAAATTAGATATTTCAAAAGCACACACCTAGAACAAATTTCTACCACATACCACATTATTTGTCACCTGCTCATTGCAAAACCATGGAATATACCAGTTCAACCTTTCCTGTATCATAACGTGATTCAGCCCACATTAGACCCCTTTTTTCCCAGTAGAATCTCATGGAAGACTTTGTTAAGCAAACTGAAATCAGAATATGAATAAACCCAGGAAAATAATCTAAGCATATAGCATACATTGTATTTCCCTCCCTCCATGTTCCATAAAACAATATGGAAGGTAAGTAAGTAAGTAAACAATTAAGGGTTCACTGTTCAGAAAACTTTTACAAATCATGTAATTTGGTGAGACACATGTTGTTTGTTAAATAACGTTA